AGCCCGGCACACGCGGAACGAAGGCTATAATATACGTTGAGAAGATGATCACACCATCGTGGAATCACGATATGTATGCACTGTCGATATTGCAGGATACCGAGGGATTCGGATCCCTTGTTGCACATACATCCACACATTCCACTGCAGAGCTATACATATACCGCGATTTTCCCAGTCGCGATAGCTAGTCACTTCTCAATTTCCATCGACCCGCTATGGTGCAGTACCTGACCGACCGCGTCTCCGTCGAGAGTCTCCCGAAGCTTAAACCCGACGATGGATCCGCATATCCGACAAGTTACGACGAGCTGAAGTCTCCAAACAACCCAGTTCAATTGGAAGATGGCAGTCTACGTCCAGCCAATGGATCTGTGTCAGCCTACAGCTGGGAGAACCTGGGTATGTTGACTCATATCGCGGCTGTCGGAACGGTCTACGGCACAGTCAGTGGCGTCATCTACTCCGTGTTAAATAACTACCTGCACATGTCGACCACTTTGGTTGCAACAGCTACAGCGCTCGTGACGTTCCCACGTGCTCTTCGGATCTTCACGGGCATGCTGACCGACACTTGTCCGATCTTCGGATATCGGCGTCGGCCGTACATGATCATCGGTTGGTCTCTCTCGTTCATCTCCTGTCTTTTGATGGCGGCGCTACCTCTAGGAGATCCTTACTACGGAGACCCGTCACTGTCCGATATTGCGCTAGTTGATATGACGCCCGAGCAACTTGCAACATTGAATGCAGACGCTCCAAGTCGCGGTGTCAAGCTCATTATTCTAATGATGATCGCGAATTTTGGCTCCGTCATGGCTTATAGCGGATTCAACGGAGCACTAATGGACGCCTCGCAACGTGAACCGGAAGCTACTCGTGGTACTCTCATTGGTGATGTGATTGTGATCCACTACGTATTTATGGTCGTATCTTCATTCATGACGGGCATTGGGCTGAACGGTGAAGACTACGGTGGCACCTTCTCATGGACGATGGGATTCAACGCCGTCATGTGGGTCTGCGCTGCAGCTTCATTTCTCACGATTCCGTTCTCGTGGTACTGCGTCCAAGAGGTGAAGAACGAACGCGCTCAGATGCCTATCCTTCCGTTCCTTTACGATGTATTCCAGCAAGAAGTCATCTACCGATACTCTGCGTTCCGTTTCTGCTTCAGCGTGTTCTCCCAGATCACAGTGACGGCGTCGAGTGTGATTCAAAGTGACTGGGCAAAAGTGGAGCCGCTCAACTCGGGGATCGCCAATATGCTCACCGCTTTCCTAACAATAAGCGGTACTTACCTGATTAAGAAGCGAGGTCTGCACTGGAATTGGCGATACATTATTATCGTCTGTGAGGTCTGCGTTGTTTGCATCGACGCTATTCCTACTTTGCTCACGATCTGGAACGTGTACCGTAGTCAGTGGTTTTGGCTGGGAGTTCCTCTGGTGGGTGAGGTTCCTTTCGCTGCTGCCGACTACGTCGCTCAACTGTTGATCCTCGAAATTGGTAACCAAAAGGGTTTTGAAGCCACTCTTCTCGGCTTAGGAGTCACAACCGAATCCGTTGGAACCCCGTTTGCCACTGTAATTACCAAATCTGTGGACGGATATTTCGACATCGAACGATCCTTCATTGAGCAGGACAACCATCACGTGAGATCGCAAGTCACGTACACGCATCTGATTGCGTACGCGTTCAACTTGCTGTCAATTGGTGCTGTGTTCTGGTTGCCGAAGCAGAAGGAGGACGTGCACGAAATGCAGAGGCAAAACCGCAAGAGCAAATTCTTCGGCATTTTGACAATGAGCTACCTTATCTTTTCGCTGGCGTGGTCGCTGATGACCAACATTCTCAGTCTCTTTGACTCTACGAGCTGTTTGAGAATTGCCGGTGGCAGTGGATGTTAACGTTTCGTTTACCTTGTACTACTTGTAGTTCATAACTTTGACTTCTTTAATATAGTATAAAAAACAAGGGGCTTATTTTGCCGACAGAATGCTCGATAATGCTGGAATTATCGCAAAATGCATAGAATCCAGATCACGACCCAAAAAATCAAGTTAACCTCCCAAGGATATTACAGTTGACAAGGTTTTCGTCAGTGATAAATCAAAAGAACTCTTCGGCTGGCATTTCTTTCTTGTTCAGGAAGGATGCTGCGTCGCTGGCTTCGGATGGAGTGATAATGCAACGGGGGAAATCGCTAACTGAAAGTGAAGGTTCCATTCCCAGTGCCTTGGAGGCAAAGGAAACTCCAGCAACTGCTCGTGCAGTCTCTAAGGGCGGAAGAAAGTGTTGCCCCTTTCTTGGTTACAACAAATGGGTTGTCTTGAAAGGCTTGTGCAATCAATGCACATGGTGAGTATGAGCTTTGCACGTACCCGGAGTGCGAGTATTAATAGAGGGCAACATCAAGGGGCAGATGCTGGAAACATGGTGGTGGGAAAAAGTGTGCTCAGTCAGGATGCACGAAAAGAACACAGTCAAGAGGCCTATGCGCTAGGCATGGCAATCCCAAGTGTACCCCCGCTCTGAATGTACCAGAATGCACGTTCGAAAGGCAAGTATTTCGTTCATGGAGGAGGCAAAACGCTGCTCGCATCCTGGGTGTTAGAACAAGTCCAGGTTAAGGACTTTGTTTCGCTCATAATGTTGCTCGTACGAAGGGTCCGTAAAGCGGAACATCAAGTGCTACAAGCATGGTGGAGTCGAGTGGTGCACTGAAAAGGGTGTACCAAGCAGGCGATCTTCCACTCACCGACCAAATGCTCGGCACACAGGAGCACTCCGTCGGCCTAAAGGTGAGAACGCTGGCGTCGACGCTTTCATCGAGTTGGATTCGCCATCAGCAGCGGATGGAGTACCGAACAACTATTATTTTTCAGTAAATCATACTCAATATTGCCTGTTTCGAGTCATTACCTGGAAGTAGTACAGCACTTCCGCAGCAGCTGGACGTTCATGGGGATCCAGACTCACGCATCGGTGGACAAACTGAACCATTTCCGGGTGCATTGCCGGGGAAAGATGAACGCGTAGTTTGCCCATCGACACCATCTGAAGCACTGCTGTATCCGAAAGAGGGTGCCCTGTCCTGCTGTTACCTTCCTTGGCATGTGAGTACGGCAGCTCCTGTGTATCCAGCTCTGAAATCACCACACCAAGAGAGAAGATGTCAGCCTTCTCGTCGTATCGCTCGCCCATCATAACCTCCGGAGCCATCCACAACGAACTCCCCACATTTGACGTCATAGTAGCATCCGATCGAATTCGTGACGCCCCAAAGTCCGTGATCTTAGCAGTCAGCGATTCTGTCAATAGAATATTTCGCGATTTGAGATCTCGATGCAAAACTACGGGCTCTAACGAGTGCAAATATGTCAATGCATGTGCCACTCCGTACGCAATTTGCAGTTTACTGGCGTCCATTCCTTGTGGCATACCACTGGCGTGATATTCCTTCAATAGTGTACGCAGATCACCACCAGGCAAAAACTCAATCACGCAGCACAAGTCGCTTAGTGACTCCCACGCTACACCAATGAACAGTACGATGTTGGGATGTTCCATCGTGGCCATAAGCTTCACTTCAGAAAGAAAGGCTTCAATATACTCCATGTCTTTGCGTCTTTCCTGAACCAGCGCTTTAATGGCCACATCTTGACCTCGATAGCGTCCACGGCACACTTCACCAAAGGCACCACGACCGATTATGGCCCCCAACTCGATGCCGTCAGTGGAGATTCGTGACGCTAGAATCACTGGGTCTTCGGATAATGTAACTCGGTATTGGCTCCTTTCAGGCATGGAACCCCCTGTCGATCTCGACGTGTCCCTATTTTCCATATCATCTGGGTCCAGTAACTGTGCGTTTTTACTAGCGATAGGCAACTCGAAAATGTCGTCCACCTCACTAGACTGGTTCTTGTGCCGTCGTCGCTGTACGATGAAGAACACTATCAGCAAGACCATCAAAACTACACAGCCCACGGCGATCCCGATTATTTCCGCGAGACCTAACGAACTTGAAGACTTTGAAGTATTGTTGGCATCAGATCCTGAACTACTAGTTGATGAACTGGTTGCAGGATCCGGAGCCGACGTCGAGTTATTGCCAGGTGTCCGAGTTGTTGCAGCGGGTGGCGAGGGAGTGATTGTTGGCGTATTCGTCGTTGGAGTAGGAGATGTTGGGGTCGGAGATGTTGGCGTAGGAGATGTTGGCGTCGGCGAGCTGGTAGCTGGCGATGTTGTTGCTGGAGAAGTCGTTTCTGGAGTTGAAGGCTCTGGTGTCAGTGGTTGAGGTGTAGGAGTCTCGGGTGTCAACGGCTGGGGTGTTAACGTCAAGGGTTCTGGAGTTGTTGTACTGGGTAAATCAGTAGGGTCAATCGCGATGGAAGCACTTCCGCCTACGTTATGAGCAGTAAATTAGACCTCGCGTATTCTACCAGAATCTGATGTAAAAGAAAACTTACTGCCTGTCTGGGCGATCACCACGGTGAAGGGCAAACAAAGGATCGCGATACAGCACCACCAGGTTCCGCCATAGCGCTTTCGCTGCGATGAATACACCATGGCGTCTTCTTCGATAGAGTTCCGGACCGAAATTCGGTGAGCACCTTACCGGACGAGGGGGATTGGTGACTGTGCACCAACTTCTCTTTCGCCATGGAGAGTAGGCCAACTCCAGGCTACAATGGGTACTTCACAGCTGCAGGGGTGCCTAAGCTCAGGAGGGATGGATACAAGTATCCATACTTGCAAACTTGTGAAAATCTGGATGACGACAACGGTTCAAACTCGATTTGAATGCACTCCAATTTATTGAAAGCGGCGATTTCAACAAAAATGGGTGGACTGTTGCATTGTATATCCTTCGCCTTCACCTCCCATTCACCTAGTCGTTCAGCGCTGGCGACTGCCAGTATGCAGCCCACGTCTATTGTCTCTCCTTACACTACCGCTATGGAAGGCCGCGAGCGTCTGCAGCTAACGTCAAGGTACATCTAAGCTTCAACTGAGTCAGATATCACCACCTTGCATCCAATACAGTAATTCCAGCAAAAATTGGCCTTGTTCTTCAAATCACCAGTTGACCTGAAACCGCCTTGTATCGTCACAAAGCCACAGGTTCTAACAGCACAGAAAAATACGACTTCCGAGCTGCGTCGAGGGTCTCCTGCTCTTGGCTTGTGGAATACAGACGACAACATACTATCTTCACTTGCCACTGACGGTTGGATCATAAAAACGATACGCATCGCGTATCTAAGAAACGATCTCCTTGTTGTACTGTACAACTTGTGCATCGTTTTGTTTATTCAGTCCACACGAAGGCATTGAAGAAAAGCGAACTCGTACCGGAACGTTTCCGAATCCCCGGCCTGGCCGCTTTTGGTTACTACGTGTATTATTCCTTCCACTTCGGCAACTTTACCACGGTTGAAACCTATGTACATGTAATCCCTGGCAAATGAGAGAATAATGACGTGATTAAAGAGCTAAGCTCGACAAAAGAAGGCTGTACAGAACGAAATGTCTTTCGATCGTTTGGTGTTCAAATTACCAGTATCGGTGGAGGAAACCTTGTTACCGTAAGTGTAACAGCTTAATAAGCTCCGTCGCTTTTTGGAGAACCTAGTCATACTAGCAAGCCACCGAGGACGATATTACGGGGTAAAATTCTCAGGGGTTTTCTGCATATGAGCTGTTTATTTGTGCCAAGCCAGATGAAAAAATGTTGTCTTCATTTCTCTCGAATGTTGAATTCAGCCAGCGAGCAGAAATAATCCACTCTTACATGTGTTAACAGCACACTGTTCGAGCCTAAAACTTCGTCTATCGCTTTAGAAATCTGCGCAAACTTTGGTTTCTTCAGTCTCATAATAAGAAACCAAATTTATATTATAAAAAACAGTGCATCTTCGTGCTATGAGATGGTAAGTTTAATAGTCAACTCCGTTTAACACGGCACAGGATCTATCGATTGAACTTCCAATGGGCCTCGAATAGCTCAGTTTTGCCACTCCTGGAGTTGCTAAGTGCAGGTTTTTTGGACTGGGGAGGCTTGCAGCTTTCGAGGGCAGGATAGCTAGCCACGCAGAGTTTACCAGTGCAAACTTGTGGTACTTAACAGCTATTTTGTATCGGATTATTGTGTCGAAGCAGTTGTGCTCCTCCACACCGTGTGAGTGGATATGCACTCCCATGTGCCCAGCCAAAAAGCCCACCCCCTTCAAGTGCAGCATGTTTCTAAGCAATGGTCTTTCCAAACACGATCTTGGTCTCGCAGTCACCGACTCCGTAATATTCAACACATTTCAAATAACAAGTCAATACAGTCGGTCCCGAATCAGCACTTGCAAATAGTAAAGAATCTCGGCGGCTGTCGGGCGTTCACAAGGACTCACGTTAACGCAGCGTTCAACGAAGTGGCGTATGTCTTGATCCATGAAGGGAGAAAAACGAACGTGGAGTTTGCCCATTGATACCATTTGAAGCACCGCTGTATCCGGAAGAGGGCGACCCTTTTTGTTGTTACTTGATTTGACATGCGAATACGGTAATTCGTGCGTATCCAGCTCCGAGATCACTACACCCAGAGAAAACACATCAGCCTTTTCGTCGTAGCGTCGCCCCATCATCACTTCAGGTGCCATCCACAGTGAACTACCCACGTTCGAAGTCATGGAGCCATCGGAACGGATACGCGAGGTACCAAAGTCCGTGAGCTTAGCAGTTAATGACTCCGTCAGCAGAATATTGCGTGACTTTAGATCGCGATGCAGCACCACAGGCTCCAGTGAGTGTAAATACGTCAAAGCGTACGACACGTCGTAAGCGATCTGTATTTTACTGGGGTTCATGCCTTGGGGTGCACCAGTAGCTAGGTAGTTCTGCAATAAGGAGCGTAGATCACCACCACTCATGAACTCGGACACACAGTACAGTTCGCTCAACGACTCCCAAGCCACGCCAATAAACCGCACAATGTTCGGATGCTCCATGGTAGCCATGAGCTTCACCTCAGACAGAAACACCCGAATATGACCCATGTCCTTGCGCTTCTCCGGTAACAACGTCTTAATTGCTACGGTTTGATCTCGAAATCGACCGCGATATACCAAACCGAAAGCTCCGCGACTAATGGTTTCTCCCAGTTCGATGTGCTCGATTGGAATCCTCGACGCTACTATCACGGGGTGCTCCCACAAGGTACCTCGGTATCGTCTACTACCCGAAAGTGGTCCAGGCACTTGTGAGTAGCCAAGAGTTCTGGTGGATTCGTCGTACTCAGTGTCGATCTGCGACTGTTCTCGATCGAGTAGCTGCATTTGCTTCTCGATTTCAGCTAAGGCATTGGAGGACTCATCGTTAGACTGGTTCTTCTGGCGACGCCGAGTGATCAGGAGCACTGTCAGCGCTAGCGGGAGTACGAGAGCTCCGATGATGGTCCCGATGACCGCTCCGAGTCCAAGGGAACCGGAAGACGTCGATGTGTTGTTGTCTGATAGAGAACTACCAGACTGGTCTGATGCGTCTTCACTGTTGTTGCTGGTTGGGTCCGTTGTATCAGGCCTTAACACGATCACCTTCTCCGTTTCACCGGAACTAGTGACGATCACGTAGTCGAACGACGTGCTTCCGTTTCCCAGCGTTGTCTCGGTGACTTCGACATTGATGAGATCCGAGCCGTTTAGTACGCTTGAGCTTACACCGGGTGGTAATGTTGAGGAGTTGTATTGTTTCACCACGGGCGCTGCTGTTGCAGAAGTAGATGACGAAGTATCTGTGTCAACTGCTGCACTTGGAGCCGTTGTTGATGAAGTCGATGGAGCTGCTGTCTTTGTCGATGTTGGTGATGATGTAGTAGCTGGTGTTTTTGTCGTTGGGGTCGGTGCTGATGTCTCGGAAGCTGAGCTAGAGGATGATACTGTGCTTGCAGTGGGCGTATTGGTAGTTGTCGTTGGCGTTTCTGTTGTGGGTGATATCGTCGGCGCAGTGGTAGATGGTTGGGATGTAGTCACAGGCACTGACGTGGCTGGCGTCGTTGTAGCAGACGACGTCGTACTCGGTGAGCTAGCACTGTTGTTGTTAGACCCTGCATCAGAGGAATCATCGCCTAAAATCAGCAAGAACAGCTTAGATACGTCGGCATCGGAATGAGTTTGATAGGCTGAAGTACTTACCGACGGTCTGGGATATCGCTATGGAACATGACAGACAAAGGACAAGCAACTGAAACCAATTTGCGCGGCGGTGACTTTGCTGCTGCGGTGCCATCTTGCAGGCTTTGGCACTGGATTGCAAAAGCGCAAGTGACTAGAGCACCTCGAAGATGCATCGTAATTTCCTCAGCCACCAACGTAGTTCCTTCAAGGATTTCTGCCGCCTAACAAAGGGTGCAAAGCCTACGTGTCTCTTCAGTGCTGTGTACTACTGTAGTACTGGAAAGACACAATGTTTACATGCACATGTAGTACACGTATATGTACAGTGTACATTGTACACTATTTTGCCGCAGTCTTTTGCCCGTTCTTGGTTTGTGTTCGCCTCTAAAGGCTTCCTTAAGTAGTAAAATGCATCGCAACGTCTAACGGAGTGATTACTAACCTTCAATCCTTATCATTCGGGGATTTTTGGGTTTTCCGCTTACTGTCAACAAAGTCGTCTTGGCATTCCACAGTGAACCTTGTCTACAACCGTCGTGAGATCTGTGTGCGCACATTCGTAAAATAAAAGTGAAGTTCGTGGTGAGCCACGGGCCCTACCTTGTCTCATGAAGGTTGGAAAAGCGATATTCCAGAGTTGATAGATTTGAGTTCACTCGACCATTCGAGATCTGCATGAACAGTATTTAGTTTGAAGCCCCGGGTATGTTCATCATTCAACAATTAAAACAAAATCGACCTGTATCCGTCAAACTTATTAACTCACTCAGTGAGCACTTCACACTGCATTCCTCCAAAGAGTCCTTCTTCGGAGGACTGAAAACAGCCCTCGAGCCTCGATATTCATTTACTAAAGAAGCGATCGAAGCGCCCGCCGGTTTCCACAACTTCCTCAAGATGTGTTTAACCTCATAATACACTTGGCGTCGTCTTTCACAACATTGCCTAGATGGCTTGCTCTGCCTCCCACGAAGTATGTAAAGTATACTTCGAAGTATTTGGTACGAAAGTAGTTTCCAGCCTTCAGTTCTGTTACCTTACGTGGCCATTGCATGCCGCGTACACGACAACCACAGGCTTGCTGAAAAACGGGAAATCGTTCACCATCACCAAGCGGATTGTTACATGAGTAAGTGACGCAGTGCTGACATTAAAAACTTCTTCGTCCATTCTGCCTTGTCTTGTTGCGCGGGTGAAGTGAGCATTGCAGACAAGAATTGCAATTGGAGGCGCTACTATCAATACCATGACACCTGGCCAAGACTTGGTCCAAGTAGCGCAGTTTACATTACGTCCGGCGCTCACAATCCGGTTCGCTGCGCTCTCGATGCCGCCGGTGTGCAGCAATTCATGTAAAACATGGCAGGGCAACTTCAACTTGCGTTGACCGATGGCATCGTCGCACCTTTTCTGCAAGTACCGACCCATGGGTTAACGGGTCAAATTTATTCTTATAAAAACCAAGTCATTTTCGACCCGCACTTGAACTTGTCGAAGCGTATGGAGATCCGAGACCGTCACTTTCGATTCCTGTGACCATTGTGAACGTCGCCACCTCTTCTAGAGTCAATGCTGGCTGCTAGACGTCTCCGAGTGCTGCGCCAGCCCCTTGTATGTGTGCGCCCTCTGTATCCAACTTTGCACAGTATGACTTACATTTGATTGGTGCAATATCCGCAGCTCCAGACCCGATGGATGAGTGCACTGGTGGATGAAGCGGCTTCTCCGATCCTCACGCCCGCCGCCCGCAAACTGGCCTTCAAAGAAGAGTTGGAGCAGGCTCGCAAGCGTGCACTCGAAGGTGGCGGTGCTGAGCGCGTGGCTAAGCAGCACGAGAAGGGGAAGCTCACGGCCCGCGAGCGCATCGAGCTGCTGCTGGACAAGGGCACTTTCCGCGAGTATGACATGCTGAAATCGCACCGCTGCTCTGACTTTGGCATGGAGAAGCAACAGTACCCCGGAGACGGTGTTGTCACTGGCCGAGGACTCATCAATGGCCGTCTCACCTTCGTCTTCAGCCAGGATTTCACCGTCTTCGGCGGTAGTTTGTCGGAGACGTACGCTGAAAAGATCGTCAAGATCATGCAGAAGGCAATGGAGTTGGGAGCGCCCGTGATTGGACTTAATGACTCGGGAGGCGCACGTATCCAAGAGGGTGTGGCGTCGCTGGCTGGCTACGCTGACATCTTCCAGCTGAATGTCCTGGCGTCTGGTGTCATTCCACAACTCACGATGGTCATGGGGCCTTGTGCTGGTGGCGCAGTATACTCCCCTGCTATGACCGACTATATCTTCATGTGCCGTGACTCGTCATACATGTTTGTGACTGGACCGGATGTGGTGAAGACTGTGACCAATGAAGAGGTCACCCAAGAGGAACTGGGTGGTGCTGCTACACACACCAAGACTTCTGGTGTGGCACACTGCGCGTTTGACAACGATGTGGAGGCTATTCGTGAGATGCGTCGCTTCTTCGACTTCTTGCCGCTTAATAACAAGGAGAAGCCGCCTGTGCGGACGTCCGACGACGACCGCAACCGCCCCGTGCCCACGCTCGAGAGTATTGTACCCCCAGACCCGAACGTGCCGTACAACATGAAGGATATTATCCACCAGATCGTGGACTCGTTCGACTTTTTCGAAATTATGCCCGACTACGCCAAGAACATCATTGTTGGATTCGGCCGCATGGAGGGCCGTGTGGTGGGCATTCTTGCTAACCAGCCAATGGAGCTTGCTGGCTGTCTGGACATCAATTCATCTGTCAAGGGCGCGCGGTTTGTGCGCTTCTGCGACGCCTTCAACATCCCTATTGTGACACTTGTGGATGTTCCTGGTTTCCTGCCTGGGACGGACCAGGAATACGGTGGGATCATTCGTCACGGCGCCAAGTTGTTGTACGCGTACGCTGAAGCGACGGTACCCAAGATCACGATCATTACACGAAAGGCATATGGTGGAGCCTACGACGTTATGAGCTCCAAGCACCTCCGTGGTGACATCAACTACGCGTACGTGACTTTGTACTTGGCTAGCTGAGTTTGGTTGCACTAACACACGATTTTTTGTTGTTGTTATGATACATTGCAGGTGGCCGTCGGCTGAGATCGCCGTGATGGGAGCCAAGGGCGCAGTGGAAATCATTTTCCGCGGCCAGAACGTGGAGGAGAACACTGCTGACTACGAGAAGAAGTTCGCTAACCCCATGGTATGCTTAATCTTGATTGCATTGTTGTACCTGCAACACGAGCTTGCTGACGTCGTGTACATTGTCAATTTCTACTCGAAGGTCGCGGCCCAGCGAGGTTTCGTGGACGACATCATCGAGCCTGTGAACACTCGTCGCCACATCTGCGAGGATCTCGATGTTCTGGAGACCAAGGACGTGAAGAACCCGTGGAAGAAGCACGGCAACATCCCGCTGTAAGCGCGGTTCGGCCACATACACTCATCCGTCTACAGGTCGCCTCAAACATTATAACCCGTTACAATACGACTTGCCGAAATCTTTTATCAAGTCAGTTCGCTCTCGATAATTAATTTCCTTCTTGAACCGATATCCCCGTCAAATATGAAACGGTCACTTCTGTCCGTGCCGATCTTTCATCACTTCCGCATCCGCTTCGTGAAGCTCAAGACAATCACTCTGGATTATCATTCACCATGGTCAAGCTAACTCTGTCTCCGCGCACCCCGCAAACCGTGGACGCGTTCCTGCAGTTCATCAACAATAGTCCGAGCCCGTTCCACGCCGTCTACGAGACCGTACAGGCCCTCACTGCTGCCGGCTTCAAGCAGCTGCGAGAGGAGGACTCGTGGAAGGACGCCGTGCAGCCAAACGGTAAGTACTACGTAACGCGGAACCAGTCTGCCATTATCGCCTTTGCCGTCGGCGGCAAATACCAGCGCGGCAATGGCTTCCACGTCATCGGCGCGCACACGGACAGCCCATGCCTCAAGGTCAAGCCTGTATCCAACATTGAGTCGCAGGGCTGGCTCCAGGTGGGCGTCGAGACGTACGGTGGCGGTCTCTTCCACACGTGGTTCGACCGCGATCTGGGTCTCGCCGGCCGCGTCATTGTGCGTGAGAGCGACTCGAGTTTCAAGTCGAAGCTGCTGCTCGTAAACCGCCCCATCATGCGTATCCCCACGCTCGCGATCCATTTGGACCGCAAGGTAGCGGAGGGTTTCACCTTCAACAAGGAAACCCACCTGCGTCCGGTGATCGCTTCTGCCGCTCGCGCTGAGTTAGAGGCCACCACCGACGGCAAGGACCAGCCCAAGTCCAAACACGCTTCCGTGCTGCTGCAGCTGATCGCCAAGGAGCTGGACGTCAAGATCGACCAGATCTGCGACTTTGAACTGTGTCTGTTCGACACCCAGGGAGCTAACGTCGGCGGTGTGCTCGAGGAGTTCATCTTCTCACCCAGACTGGACAACTTGTGCTGCTCGTGGCTCGCCACGCAGTCGCTGATCAAGTCGCTGGACAACCTCGCGAACGATGAGAACGTCCGTGTGGCAGCGCTGTTTGATAACGAAGAGGTGGGATCTCAGTCGCTTATGGGTGCCGGATCCAACTTCATGCAGTCTGTAGCGGAGCGTGTGGCCCAGGGCGAGCTGTGCGGTGCTGCGGCCAGGAAGTCGTTCATGGTATCTGCTGACATGGCTCACGGTGTGCACCCGAACTACAGTGACAGACACGAGCAGAACCACCGTCCCGCTCTGCATGCTGGACCTGTGATCAAGCACAATGCCAACGAACGTTACGCCACTAGTGGCACTTCCTGCTTCTTGATGAAGGAGCTTGCTCGTCGCCACAACGTGGACATTCAGGAATTTGTGGTGCGTCAGGACACTGGATGCGGTTCGACTATCGGCCCCATTTTGTCGACGAACACGGGCATCCGCACGATCGATGTGGGTCTCGCTCAATTGAGTATGCACAGCATCCGTGAAATGTGCGGCACGGAGGACCTTGTAAAGACGATGGATTGGTTTACCGCCTTCTACTCGGAGTTCTCATCTCTCGACAAGTGCCTCAAGACCGACTAAGCTGTGAAGTAGCGAGTACCAGGTACTGAAGATGTAAGTCCGAGTGCTGGTAATTGATTTTATCGACTCCTTGTTCGTGTAGGAAGCGAAGAGATTCAAGAAATCATTTTACTTTACTTGGTACCGAACGGTTAATGTTTTTGTGCTTCCAGGATGTCTAATAAATTAGGTATTTCTGCCTGCACGTGAATGATGCTCCCTCATCAGGAACACAAGCGCACTGGTCCATAACTCGCGTGTAGCTTCTGAGTCTGCTTCTAGATCGAGACGTCGATCCTCCGCGACAACGGAGAAGCAGCGCCCGATTGCCTTATCTGTGACCAACAAAGCAGCTAAGTTAGCATCATCACAAACATATTGGTTGTAAATGGGAACTTACCTTCGGACAAGTGCTTCATGAATGCGTAGCGCGTGCGGGCGGAATTTCCAGGCAGAACTGATATCATCGAGTTCACTGCAATGCCATCTTTTGTAAGACTGCTCTTCTTGTTGAGAGGTCTCCAGTAGATCTCGTCGAAGTCTTTCGAGCACCATACAAATCGTCGATGAGGTTTTCCCCATTGGCCGTACTTCTTGAAGACACCGCCTTTCAGGAGAATACTCTCGAAGAAAACCTTCTCGTCTTCTTGGCGCAGAGGAGCCTTAAAAGGTGGTGTATGCGTTCGCAGTTGTACCGTTGGGCTTCGTGGGGGTGTTGCTTGCCTCGTGTCGATCGCCGGTATCTCAAGCGAAATACTTAATTTGCTGTCCGGGTTCTTGGCTGCTGCAGTGTCAGGGGCTGGCTCTGCCACGCGTTCTTCTTCCTCAATCTCGTCAGCGATGAGCAAACTATCAAGAGGTGGGTCCGTTGTTCTGCTAAAATCGATATTTTGTTCAACTGACATCTCATTGGAGGGGGTTCTGCTTGTGAACTCGAAGCTCACATTTTGCTCATTAGCGGTGATAGCATTGCGTAAGAATGCATTCCGCACAAGCCGATCAAGAGCCTCACGTCCGCGCCCACTGCAATTTGGTACATTTTTGTCGTTGAAAAGCGAATTTGATGAAAATGGGGCTGAGAGGACCCGACGAGACGTATTACCGACAAATGGAGCCCCAGTACTGCAAACAATAGCTTCGGTGCCAGTGGAAACCCCGACAGTTAATGGTACTGTGGACGACATCGTTTTTGCATCCGGGGAACCAAGGTACCCGATCGTAGTGTCAAGTGTCAGATAATCTGGTGAACCCTCATATCGCCACATATCGAGGAATTTGTTGCAGAAAGCTACACTTCCCGAATAAAACTTTGTGGCATGCATCGCGGTAGATCCGTGATTTTTCAGGATCTCCAGCACTCGCGATCGTGTCAATCCTCGACTAAGGTGGTGAAATACCCCCTTTACGCAGTGGATTGTCTTGAGCGATCTCGTCTTCGAGAATGCTGTAAGCCCAATACGTCCCAGAGCATCGAGAAACGCGGATACTCCCATACACATTCGCCCCACTTGGTTTTGAGGAAATGTGTAGGCCACAGCGCCTTCAACACTTTCGAGAATGCGCTGAATTGATGCTATGCCAGTGTTACAACCAACTCCCGTTGAACTGGACACACTTTCTCCGGTTTGCGAGCTTGATTCATTGCAATCTGCATTTTGAGTTTTGTCACTACTTGCTGCAGCGTCAAATAGGGCTCCGTGAAAGGGAGGACTTGAGCAAGATGCCAGGAAAACGTGTGCAGCCTCAACACTTGAGAGCTGTAGATTGGCGAAGCAAAAGTCGTTGATAAATCTCTGGTAGTCAGCGTATGACATGTAGAATTCCCTGACCCCGGATACGTTTGTGTTGTAGCTCTTGGCATAGAACATGAACATGTCAACGAGCGGCTCAAGGAATTTCGACATAAAGGACACGAGTTCAGGTCTTCGTAGCCGCTGCGTGTGCTGCGACCAAGTGTCCGTTGGCCACCGAGCCGCCAAAGGCAGGATTTGGTCCATGACCAGTTTCTGGAACAGCTCGTCTTCCTCGTCACTGTCGCACAAGAGCTTGGAGGAGTTGGCTCGATTCCCCTTCGTATGAGCTGCTCGAGCCACTTTCACGAGCGCGTTGAGAAATTCCTCATAGTTCATCTTGCCGGATGTTTGAGGTTTCCCTTTGGTTTCCGAGGTGTAAATAATGTCGACCATCGCTGGTGTTAAATGCCCTCCAAAGACTCGTGAATCGCGTAGTAGTTTGTTGAATTGATGAGCTTTCAGGCACTCCAGTTCCATACTGTCTCCATTCACGCAGTAGAACGTAAAAATTCGCCAAAGTTCTTCGACAGGACTCGTAGCAGAAGGTGAGAGCATCGATTCAGCAGAAGTTACGTCGGGATCTGTCGCTGACAACGACCGTCGCAACGTATACGAAGAACTTGATTGACTAACTAATGGCTGAGGTAGTGATAATGCGAAAGTTGAAGCCGAAATCGCACGTCGAGTGCCTGGTCGTTTATCTTTCCCGCCTGCTGCAGCACTCATAGCATCTTTAAGACTGACACCGTTTGTAGCTCTAGCCACGATTGTGCCTCCTTTGTATTCGAGGATGATTCCATGGTTGTGAAGCTCTTCCACGCTCATTAATGAGAGGATCTTGGCTTGCTCCGGCCACAAACATCCTTCTCCATCTACTAATGCGACTTCACCAGCAGGAATATTCCAATATCGAGCGGCGTCGCGTCGTAGTTGCTGAAATGTGTAGTCCTCGGTTATCCACACGTGGAATTCTTCTCCGGACGCTGTACGCACACATACCTTTTCCGACGAGCCAGATGACAGGTTAGTACTTGCTACAGACGTCGCAGTACTGGTTAATCGGTGTGGTGACGATAATGGGGAAGGGGCTGGTACTCGTCGAGCATGCAGCTCTCGAATTCTCACCATCGGATAGAAGTACGCAATCTTTTGAGTGCCTTCTTGTCGTGCGCTAACAGGGACGCCATCATCCAGAACGAATTGAAACTCGGCCGGCGCATCTTCGACATTCTCCCAAATAAGCGTGCGAGCCTCAAGAAGCGTCATTCCGTCGTGAACGTCGATAAAGCCGATGACACCTTTCCGCTCAAGCGCTACTCGAATGATATCCGTCACGTGGCGCTTATGCGTACGCTCGAACGCCCCTGGCGACATCATCCTGCTCAGCAGGCCCTTAGTTCCAGGCTATGAGTACCTTCGTGGATGAAGCCGGGAGAATTAGCACTAAAAATACGAAATACCCTTGAAAATAGCCCTGTAAACAACAAGAAGTGAGCAGAGATAGATGAGCTCTTTTCTTAGCACAAGCGTGGTGAATAAATGCTGCATATATCGCTGAGAGAGCTGCTTTGTCTTTTTGGTTCCTTGTTGAAGTTCCTCGCGCTTAGCTGAAGGTTTAATGACATTCTGAGCGATGAGTCTTATTCTTTCTTCTCCGTTACTGCGGTCGAGGACGGGTACAGAATCAGCTCCTGATCCTTGTCCAGCGGCTTGAAGAATGCCTCCACTTCCTTGGCTGTCACCTTGGTGATGTCACGCTTTGACCACTTCGGGTTACGGTCCTTGTCCACAACAACCGAACGCACACCCTCGAAAAAGTCCGGGTTCTCCATCATACGCGTAGCGATGCGGTACTCCATCTGGAAGCACTCAGCGCACGTCTTCACAGCACCCTGTCGCATCTGCTCCAATGTGACCTTCAGACTCAACGGTGACATCTTCTTCAACGTCGCCAGGGTCTCCTGCGACCACTCTGTGTTGAGCTTCTGCTCATAGTTAAAAAAAAAAGCGTGATATTCGTTAGGGAAAAAAAAAAACTGTTGAATAAAATAAATAAATAAATAAATAAAGCTCACCTCCAGACGCTCGTAGATGCCTTCCATGGTGTCGTTCTCATTGAGAGCACCGAACACAGACTCAACCGTCTCGAGGTACTCTGGAACAACACAAAGAACGTGACGTAAGCACTTGTAACTTCAACCTCATTTTCCTCAAATCCCAACTCACCCGGGTCGATCTCCTGGAAGGCCTCGTCCGTTTCGAGCTCCTCCAGAGCCTCGTGAATCATCTCATCGCGCTGTTCCTGAGGCACGTGGTCTTCGAACTCGAGTCCCGTCAGGTGGTGCACCAGCGTCTCGTACTCGCTCGTAGGCAAGTAGTGCGTAGCAAGTCCCAGGCCAATAACCTCATGGCCCTTAAGACGCTCGCCCGTCAGCGCAAGATACGTGCCCAGCTGGAATCACAACACAAGAATTCATTAGAGTTATCGCAAAGATACCTTTTCTCCCAAACTTGCAACTTACTCCCTGGCCCTTGAGCGCCTGCGACTTGGGCACGTCGGCAACGTAGTCCTCACCCTCAACGAGACGGCGTCCAAGACGCGGCAGTAGGTACGAGGCACCGACGTCCGGGAAGAAGCCAATGGCTGTCTCGGGCATAGCAAATAGCGTCTTCTCCGTGGCCACGACGAACTTGCCGTGCATGGACAGACCCACGCCACCGCCCATAGTGACGCCGTTGAGGAAGGAGATAATGGGCTTCTCGGTGGTCGCCAAGAGGTAGTTGAGGCGGTATTCGTGACGGAAGAAGTCAAGCGAGACGTGGCGAGTAGCCGGATCTTTGCCATTGTCGGCCAGCGCGCGGATATCGCCGCCAGCACAGAAGGCCTTGCCACCGTTACCAGAAAACACGACGGCATTCACCGTCTTGTTGGCCTCGATCTTGTGCAGACGCTGCGTCAAGTGCATCGTCATGGGGAGCGTCAACGCGTTGAGCTTCTCTGGGCGGTTGAACTGCACGGTGCGCACGCCAGTATCCTGGCCGTACACGATGTCCGAGAACTCGGGCTTCTTGGTGGAGAAGGCCGCACTGCTCTGGCCTGCCATGCGCACAGGGCGCTGGAGCAGCCGCAGTCGCATCGCCATCATACGCTGCATTATCAGTGTCGACTCGACGCTAATTCGCTTATGACCTCGTTGGATCCCTGGACAAAGGAAAACGTGTGGTGCAAATGCCTTTCAGAGATTTTATTGGATTAAAAAGGTTGTAAATTGCAGCCAATGGGAAGCAGTTAAAGAAAGGTTAACCTCACTCGACCATCACTCTTCGATTTCCGCATTCAAGTGCGATGGGCGAGGAAGACGTGGAGCTCGATCTGCCCTGGAAGGCGGCGCTGGACGACGAAACCTTCGCGGATCTGGGCTATGCTACGCACACGACTAGCTCCATGAGCTTGGTGCCGAACCAGAGACAGGAGCAGCTGCCCAGTCAGCGACCGAGGCCTGGTACAACCCCTACGCAGCGGTTCAAGCGCAAGAGCTTTAGTAAACCGCTACAGTTACTGAGCCTGCAACGGTATGCTCAATACGCGAAGGACTTTGGCCGGATTCCGGACAAACACGAGACTCAACAGCTTATACAGCAGAGTTACCTGCAGTTCCTAAAAGAGGGTGGTGCTCCTGATGAGCCCAGACCTACTTATGCGGAATTTCTCAAACTTATTAGAAATCGACGCAGCGAAATTAATGCGAGGGCACAACGTCCACCCAAGCAGGGCAAAGATGCCCAAGAAATGTCCAAGAAGGAGGCGCTTACACCTGCTAAACGGAAATTACAAGAGGAACGCGCCAAGATCCGCGAGTTTATTGAAATTATTGACAGAACGAGAGAGCAAACAGGGCTGATACCAGACCCGCAACACCAGAATCGACGTCTTAGGCCGCAGCACTCTGCACAACACCAGACGACGGTTGAAATGGTTATGGTGCCTGGGATGGAGAGCTTACCTCCATTAACTCCAGACCCAATGGAGCAAATGGAAGCTATATTACAGATTCATCAGGAAACGCGGGAGGTCCAGCGTGAAATTGCGGCAAGGCTGCGATCAATTAGTCGTGTCATTAGACAGCATGAAGGGCATGGAGATTTGGAGGAGCCATCCAGTGCCAGTGTTTGAAGACGCAAGCGCCGTGTTCTTGGTCGCGGAAACTTTTAAGTTATTCTATTCTACTCGTTTGCCCTGGCACAAACAAGTCGTGGCAACGGTGTTGGTTTAGAAGCCGACAAAGTATTCATCTCCTTGGCCGTCAAAAGCTCGATCTCTGGCTCGGTTTCCGATTTCACCTTCGAACAGTGAGATGTCATACTTGCCGCTGAGGGGTGGTAGGTAAGGTGGTTCCAGTGACATGCTGTAGAGCTTGTCCCACTCGATTCTGCTGAACCACGGATGCTGCCGCAGCTCCTGGTCGCCATTGATGCCTACGCCGATACGCTTCGTGGGGTCTCCTTGCAGCAAACGGCGCACAAGATCACAAGCGTGTGGGCAGTTTTCCTGAAGATGAAATGGAAAGTCCACCGAGTTGGCTCCCGTTCGAATCATGGCGATGTTGCGGAACAGTTGTGTGGTGTCACCATCGCCAGTGCCGAACGGTGTGTAGCCGACCAACATCTCGTAGATCAGGATTCCAAGCGCCCCTACAATACGCAAAGCAGTCCACAGTGATGTTAATATTTGATCGTGATGATGGAATGAATTGGAGGTGGAGGAACTTACAGTAATCTACGGCGATGTCGTGGCCCGTGTTGAGGACGAATTCGGGTGCGAGGTACTCTAGCGTACCGCAGAGAGTGAAAGTGCGCGAGTGAACTTCTTCATTGCCGTCGCTGTTGATAACTGTGAATGGGATTTTCTTGGCGAAGCCGAAGTCGACGAACTTCAGGTATCCTTCACGACTGATCAGCAAGTTTTCGGGTTTGAGGTCTCGGTATGCGTAGTCATATCGATGCATATGCTGTAGGCCGAGAAGTGCATTTGCCGAGTAGAACCGGACGGACGACTCATCAACAGTCTCGATGAACTCTTCGTTGTGAAGAAGCGTAAAGAGCTCACCACCTTGAACCAACTCCATCAGCATGTACAAGTTATTCGCGTCCTGTTGCAAATAAGTGGCCGTGTTAGTTTCAGGTTTTAGCGATCGATATGCAACGGGGTAGACCAGTACGTACCTGATATGTGGCGTACAGGTCTACAATGAATGGGTGTTTCGGAATTGTCATCAGAACCTGCTTTTCGCGCATGACTTGGACTTGTTGGTCCGACTCGATAATGTGAGATTTGGCCATGATCTTGAGAGCCATTGGCTGCTCCTCTGCGCCGTCCACGAGTGCATGGACCATAACGACTTTGCCGAAGGAACCTTCACCCAACACGCCGGCCTGTGGAAACGAAGCCACTTATAAAGTCAGGGTACAAGATACCGATACGCCAATTTGGCAATTGGAGACTCACCACTTGAATATCGTCCAACGCAAGAGTGCAGCTTTTCATTCGTCCGTGTTCTCCCATATTCACGCGCTGAAACACGAGAACGAAAATACAAAGGTTAGTCGGCTTTTGGCACCTTCATCACTGATTCGTGCGGGAATTACCTGGGTGAACTGACGAGAGCCGGACCGAGCGAGAGAGGACACTTTGAGCCGCTGGCACTGGGATCGACCCGCTGATATGACTGTGCAAGTGTACGTGTCAGCCTGTTCGAACACTTCTCCGCCGAAGGTATCGTTGGCTTTCAGCAAAACTTCTTCGGTCACGAGATTGTTATTGCCGTCCTGGCGCTTCTTGATGAGTTTGACACATCCAGATTTGACGATATAGAAAGCCACTGCGATATCTCCTTGTCGGAAGATGCACTGAGAGTCTTGGTAGGCCTTAATCTCAAGCTGCGAAACAGCGTACTCGAGAGCTTCTTGAGACTTGGTCGCAAACGCTGGAATTGTACGCAGTATGCGAATGCGGCTGTTGCGGTCCAGTACGTCGGTGAGTGGGCCAAGTATAGAGTCGAATTCCTGTCGCCCAAGACTGAGGCATTTTACACTACCTTTGGCGTAAATACTGGCATTGCGGGGCATGTCGCTAAGCAGTGCCATCTCACCAAAGTAGTCGCCTGGACCCAAGATAGCGAGCTCGGTCCTCATCGCGTCGGAGTTTTTGAAGCCACGAGGGCCTTCCATTTGACAGGATACATTGCCTTCCTCCACAATGAAGAAGGTGTCTCCCACGTCGCCTTGCTTGATGATCATCTCGCCATCTGAGTAGATCACAGCGTTCAAGACTCCTGCTAACAGAGCAAGCTGTCGCTCAGATAGACTGGCGAGGATTTCAACCTGACGCAACCACTTGGCGCGTTTCACGAGCGAATCACTGGACGACCGAGCCTGCATCATACGGAACTCATCACGGTCGAGTGTCCACAAAATCGAGTTCGTTGCAGCGCGTACGGTGGCTGCACGAGGAGCTGAACATTTCACGAGGGGGACACGAGTAAGGTTGAGAGATTAAAGTGAGGAACAGTTGTGATCAAGCCTTACCGTCATAGATGAGTGCCAGCTCGCCGAAGTGATCTCCCGGTTTCAGATATCCGAGAACGGCAGTGTTGACGATGACCTCGAGCGATCCTGAGTGCACGACATAGAACTGGTCGCCGAGATCGCCTTGCTTGATCACGTTTTGCTCGGCTTCAACCTTGATTCTCTTCATGAGGAAAAGCAGTCGATCCATTTCTTCGTCGCTGGAGTCGGTAAAGAGGACGCACTGAAGTGCTTTTTTAAGCATGGCAGCGCACTCTGGGGTTTTTGATTCCGATTGTCGCTTGGGCAGTACATCTCTGGTCATATCCTAACACGCACAAGTGTGTAAGCATTCCCGACTGCTCTGTGAATGGTGATAGACGACAAATCGTACCAGGCCTTTCGAGTACACGACTTCGCGCTTCTTTCGATGAGGGTCGGATGCACGCCGATGAAGCCCACGTCCAATGGCAGGTGTCGACCTTGGGGCGTTGGGGTCTCGAGGAGCATAAGCTGTTTTGCAAATCTGCTTCATACGCTCGAAGATGACTTCATTGCCAAGATTCTCTATCGCCATTTGATCATACTCGCGCTGGATCGCACCGAACAAGGCGAGATCCCCGGCGGTACGCGGAGTCATGTCCGATTCATTTTCTCGTGGCGACGCCGACGCTGCAGCACCCATCGTTGACAGTAAGCCACCTTGCTGTCACGATTGAAACAGGCTAAAGAGGATGTTCCACGGAGTCTGTTTGATCCCAACCTCAAAGTGAACTATAAGCGGGACGCAGAGCTCGAGTCCAAATGCAGATGAGTTCATTCACACCTCAAGACAAGCAAGATCTTTATTTGGCCGGTACTGCTTAGCTTTCCCACAGAACGAATGCAAGATCACAGATGTTACCGTAGTATTTATATATTGTCGTCCTCGTGATGATAAGCGTGCTGCTGCAGTCTTCCAACGGGTCGTGTCTGCGCTATATAGGAATGCCTGATGCCCGAAATAGAGGACAAGACGCCGGTGTAGAGGCTTGATGCTAGGCGTAAATTGTGTTTACGTGAAAATACTCGATTCACAATAGACAACAACACTGTACTTGGGCTCATGCGTTCGTCGCATGGAGTCCTATTGACTTGCTACAAACAATCGCAAGGTTGGCCTACACCGATGTTGATTACAAAAGATTCTAGTAAAAGTTCTCATATTAGTTAGGAAGGGGTCACGAGGACGCACTAGAAAAGCAAAATCAAAGCTACAGCTCCGAAGGTGTCTGCGTTGACTTATTCTGGCGCGTTGGTCGTGTAGTGATACAAACAAAGACCCCAGGGCTCGCAAACGGTGGCCCGGCATTCAATACACTGACACACAACAATGTGGTGTGTGTCGGGAGGTTGCGCATAGTCCGCTCCAAAATTGCGCTGATATCTGACCGATTTGGTGGAATCATCCGCGTCGGAAAATGGGATCATCACGGTATGTCTGTATGGTCACGCATTCGTGGTCAAGCCGCCTTAAATCCAGTCGCCTTCGCTGTCATCACTGTCGTACTCGCTGTCGCTGTCAAAGAATGTGGAGCTCGATGAGCTTTGCGTGTTGGTTGTGCCATTCGTATGCCCGTTCGGCCTTGCCACCGGTGCCGAGCCATCCGGGAACGAGTTCGAGTGGTTGTAGGAGCTGGACGAGGAGAACTGCGATGACAGACCCGACGAAATGTACGAGTCGTCCAGAGACGATGACGACCGTTTCTCGTACACTGTACGTCGCTGCGGCATCTCGGGCGTTTCAGCCACTGATCCTCTGGGCTTCGACGGCACGGACGCCAGTGAGTGTCGCATCGGGAGTCCAGCGTTCCTGTTGTTGTATTGCTGGATCCTCTGCTGCTGCTTCATTCTTGTCGGCGAAGGTCCTCCTATCGACGAGGATCGGAACGAGTTGCGAGCCGCTAGCGACTGCCGCACGTTGTTCATCTCCGTGTTTGCGGCCTCGATGGCGTCGCTCAATTTGCAGAGCCAGAGTTCCATATCTCCGCTGTTTTTGGCCGAGACTCGCAGTATCCGTCCGTTATCGAACGAAATATCCAGGCCGTTGGTCACTGTGCCATTCACCTCCACAGCTTTCACATGGCCGTAGCCCTTAGCGGCGGCTCCTGTGTCTTCAGAGTTAAAGTAAGACAGAGCGTTCCCACGTAGCACGAAATACCGGCGTTTCCAGCTCTTTACACGAGCTCCTTCCTTCTTGAGCCAACCTGAGTGTGTCACTTGCTCGCTGCCGCTTTCACTTAGCGGAAGAGACTCAAGACGGTCCAAAAGCTCCATCTCATCGTCCAGATCCACGGGTTTAGAGTTGGCAGCCGACAAAGTTGAAAAGCGATCGGGAGGCGCAGCTACGAACTGCTGCGGGGTCGCTGTGGTGGCGTCCAGGATCATGTTGTACCAGGCGCTGGTGGCCTCGGCCGACGCCGTGTAGAGTTTGAGCACGCGGCCGCCGCGGCCGTGCACCAGCAGTCCATTCTGAATGTCTGTACTGAGTTCCACAGTGATGACCTGGAAGCTGCCTTTGGGTTTGACTGTAGGGACCAACTTGGACGTGTCGTAGTAAGTTAGCTGTCGTCCACTAAGCACCATGAAGCGTTTCTTCCAGTTCTTGACTAGCGAGCCCTGCTTGTACACCCAACCGGAGTACTCGCCGTCGATGCCGTTGAGCGCCATGGTCTGTTTGGTGGTCTGTTGTTGCAATAAGCACTGCGAACACGCCCGTAGCTGTTGCGATTGACTCGGAAAGGGGGAAGCGCTGGAATGTGCGTGAATAGCTTGACTGTTGGAAGGAGGCCCCTCCCGCACTTTTTTCTTTTTTCCGCACGCGAAAATCTACTCAAAATACTTAGGTATCCGGCAATAACCGGATATGCGTATACTAAAAGGGACGCATTGCATGTCTCGCTATGGCGTCAGCCACGATTCCCATTACAGACGATCCCCTCGGCAGTCATAGCCTTTTGAGCCCTGCTTATTCCTGTCTAAGGGTATTCCAATCCATGAATGTACCATAAAAATGGATCAGAGTACCTTTAGCTTGGAGCAGTGCACAAAATTTACTAATGGAGACAATTGATGTAGCTCGTTACTGGCGTTTTCCTCTCCTATTACCAGGTCTGCCTCGCCACACCAAGATACCATCCCCTCTAGCCCAGCCAGTCCGTCTCAAACTCACCAACACTCAATGGCTGCTGTACAAGTATGCTAGCACCAAGCTCATATCCCTACTTTGTCCCAAACAGAGCTAGCTAGCAGAATCTACGATTTTCCTCTGGTTCCATCGCAGGCAATGATCTAGTAACTATTTATACACACAGAAAAGTGCTGGAGTCACCCCCGGTCTCGCATTTGGCCACAAATTGCGGCACACGGTGCGCCATTCTAAGCTCCTTGCCAATTGGGTCTCCAGGTGTAAAAAGAGGGGGTGGTACTGTCACCGATGAGGCAATTAGACTGAAGGCAGAACGCTTCTCCGTGATCCTAAACCTCAAGTCACGTCCAAGTGGTTAAATAGATAGGCTTCATCGGTGGATCGGACGGGGCAGCAATAATGCTCTTTGTGCAGTTAGGATTATTAATGTATTTCATAACGATACCCATTTTATAACTAAGGGGTGAGAGGGAATAATATAAGGGTTTGAAAAGACGGAGCCGCCCACTTATTGCTGTTGAGGGAGTATTTCAATCCAGGGGATTACTAGCGAGGGGATCGTCTGTGCACCATGAGGTCCGCCTTCAATAGACTCCACCGCTATCCAGCGACATATGGAAAAGGTCGTTCTGATACCGACATGTATGGCTGCCGGCGATATGTCTCAAAGCTGCACAAGCTGAAATACACGCCACAGTAAATCTAAAAAACGCGCTAGCTCCTGTAGCTGAAATCACTAGCCAAAGCATATCGACATTCGAAGGTCGTGCAATTCTTGTGGTTGCTTCAGAAATGAAGATGTTGCTCTAAAAATGGGCTATACGGACTGTTTATGAAGTGTATACAGAACTCCAAAAAATCCAGCATTCGAAATATTCGGTCTTCACATTAGCTTACAAACATCAATACAAACCCTGGGTGGGTTCAGTCGCTCTTAACACAAATATCAGGAAAACGCCACCTCATGATATGAAAAAGGAATCGGCTGTTATGCTATGGCAGCTTCAACGTATACACGTCGTCGGTATATACACTTTTGCGGCGCCGCTGTCCCAGGCTGCTGAGCAGCAGCCACAACAACAATCAACGAAGCAACGAACGAAGACTTGCGTTTATATATTCCATGCATTCGCGAGCTGACCCCGCATCAATTCTCGACTCGTCCTACATGACGACGCAGCAGCAGGCAGCTTTGGGGTTTTCAGCGTCTGACTTGCTGGGCGGGCGCATGAGTATCGTGTTCTCCTTCATCATAGCTTCCCGACGCTCTTCTTCCAGCTCTTCTTGCAACAGCTTTTCAGCCAGTCGCATGCGGCGGATCGTGCTGGTGCCCGGCGCCGTGGGCGAGTACGGTTTTTCATTATTGTCCTCGCTCTCGCGCTCCTCCGCGACCTCGACGAAGCTGGCCGTGTTGTCGGGCATAGTTTCCACCACAATGTGGCGTCGGAAGGAGCTAGCAGCGTACAGTTCCGGCGGGTTGCTCTCTTTAAACTCGCCGTCCTCAGGCTTGTCTGCCTCCGTTTTACGTTCGTCATTGTGCGCCGAAATACTCTCATAGGACGGTGGAGCGTCATCCACACCAATAGGAGCCGCACCAAACAGCGAACTCGCCTCTTCGTCCGTCACTTCGGTGCTGGTCGCACTAGCGGCACTCGCGTTCGCCTGTCGTTTCGCAAACTCCCTCTCCCTGACGTTTCTCGGATCATCGTCAAGCGAGGGTCGTCCTTGTTGGCTCTTCCGCTGCTCTTGGGCATACAGCAGTCCACGTCGTAGTGCCTTGTGCCAGTCGTCAATATCCACTTCAGACTTGCCGCCAACTCGCATCTCTCGTCCTCCTTCGAACGTCACAGCCAATGTGAAGGGTCTAGTGGGGTCTCTTCTGGCTCCGATAACTCTACCACCGCCCAATCTTTCAGCCCCCATAGTGGCTGAGTATGTCAACTGCGTGCCACTAAGCACGAAGTAGCGCTTCTTCCAAGTGCGGAAGTGCTGGCCTTCCTTCTCAAGCCAGCCCACGCGTTGCTGCGCATCGTCTCCGGGGTTTTGCATCCTGCAATATTTGATAATCGCCTCGTAGCAGCGATCACATTCCTGCTTAGTGTCTGTGAAGATCTTGAGTTGACGTCCTTCTGTACCGTGGATCAGCAGCCCGTTTGTGATGTCCGGCAGGCGCTCGATGTGCGCAGCAGTCAGAGCGCCCAAAAGTTGCGCATGGTTCTCCTCGTCCGTATTCTTGTAGTAGGCCAGCTCTGCACGCTTGCATACGAGGAAGCGCTTCTTCCACGAGCGCACGAGACTGCCCTCCTTGAACACCCAGCCAGCATACGTCACCGGGTCGTCGCGCCCCATTCTTCCCCGCTTGGATACTTCGGGTGTGAGCTGGTCGAATGGATGTCTTTTTTGTGGGAAATCAGGTGTAACTCTGTTTCGTACTTAGTGTGATTGTCCTACGAAAGCCAAGTGAAGATTGCGTCTAGAGAATTTTGTGCACCTACAACGAACAAAATCAGAAAAAACTAACTTTTGCGTTTGATGAAATGATGGTATTTTGCGTTAGAAGCTGAGGCCGCTGACGGTGATAATGCAATACATGCTCCGGTTGTGGTCTTTGTGTTTGTCGCCTGGCCACTTGACGACGTGTGCGCCTGCAAATAATAAAGTAAATGTCAATTAGGAGATTACAATACAAAAGCTTGGTCATGGTTGTGTTATCCCTACCGTCTGTGACGGTATCCCAATGACAGGAGACCGAAGCATGCACGCCAGCACCGTTCTTCTGCATGATGAGGCAGCTCACTAGAAGAACCAGTCATCAGTAGAGAGTAGTAACTATTGCCTTTAAACTACTGCATACCAATGTACTTGAGCGGTTTCCGTAGTTCACTCAGCCCTTTCATGATGGACTCGCAGATGTAGTCGACCCACTGTGAAACCTTCAGCTCGTCGTAGACTTCGTCCTTCAGGCAGCTCTCGATGGACGTGAGGATGATGCGATCTACCTCTTCAGCGACAAACGCAAGCTCTTCCGATGACTGCAGCTCATCCGCCATGGTTGTCGGTGTTTAAGAGATGAAAGTCAATAGTCGCGACGGTTCATTAGGCATCGAAGCACATTTCGCTTCAGTTCCTCAATTCGAGCTAGTAGTGGAACTTCACGCAATTTACAGATCGATACACTGTAGACATGCGTTATGTATTGTTCAAATACCAAGGCAATCCTATAATTCCTCTCTCAATCGTCTACTTCCACCTTTGGCTGTGCTGGGTTGTGGTCGAGAAACCAATTCCCGAGCCACTTGACTGCTTGCAGACCAGGTGGTTTCTCTCGACACAACTCGGTTAGTCCCTTCACTACCAGATTCACCAATAGGTTCTCCTCTTCAGGTACTCGGCTGTTATTCCACGTACTAAGTCCCACCGGTGCACGTGAAAAGTAGGACAGAGCTGCCTGGTGCGAGACGATCGGCGACGGAAAGCTGATACCAGGAAGTGTGGACGACAACTGGTATGCTTCGAGCATGTTCAGTCCCGCAGTAACCGCGTCGTTGCCGGTGAAATACGCGTCTTCGACAAGCTCGAGCGAGTCCACGAGCGCAACATGACCCTCCAAGGTTCTCTCGATACCGGCCTTGTTGAGCTCAGCACGTGAAAATACTCTCGAGAATTTGAGCGGTGGACCGTGATCCTGCGATATCTGAAAGACCACCGCGGCTACACCAGCATCGTCCACCTCGAACACCCGAACCTCAAATTCCCCGCCGAGAAATGTGCGGCGTGCCTTGTAGCTGCAGGAATCATACTTCTTGTCCATTTGGCACACTGATCTAGATAGTAGTAGACGGTTGGTATATCGCAAATGGAGACCTTTCAACAGAAACTGAAAAAAAAAACAGCAAAAAAAGATCTAAAATACAAGGATGTTGTCTAAAGCTAGACGTGCATTTATCTAGGGTACAGAGTTGTAAATGTAGAAGATGTTCCTTTCCTACATCACCGTGCAGCAAGGTGCGCATCCGGTAATTGGAGGTTCTCCTTTAGCTAGCTTTTCATCTGATCGCTGTTGCTGGACTCGTTCTTCTTCAGCTAGTAGTTTGCGATAGTAATCTGCTCCAGTGGTGCTGAGTCCCATGTCTTCCTTTTCTTCTTCTTCGTCAAATGTTAGTTCTCCCTTGAAAGAGCGAGAAGTGTTAACCGCACCAGCACCAGGTTCCAGTATTGCCCCCTCTCCTTCTTCATCACGAAGTCGCATGAGCGTGTCGTTCGTAATTGTGTCGTTGATATAATCCTTAGAATTGAATCGACTAATGCGAGCTGCGCGTTCCTGATCTTCATCTTCACTCTCAGAGTCGACAACATCATCGGTAATATCCGAGACAGCGGTTGTACTACTGGAAGTACGACCTCGTGACAAGGCTTGGAGCCACGAGTTCTTCTCCGCTTCACTTGCTGCCGTCACACGCATCGTCTTGCCACTACGGAACTCAATCACAAGAGTAAGTGGCTTGGTGTCCTGATGCACACCTTTCACCATGCCATGACCGCGTGCCACGCCACCGATCTCGCTGTAGTAGATCAAGGCGCTATTTTTCAAAGTAAAGTAGCGCCTTTTCCATGTCTTGAACCGCTGACCTTCTTTCTGCAGCCAACCACTGTGACTTGCAAAGGATTGCAAGTCCTCACTTGATCTGTGGTCTATAACCATGTTCATCATTGGAATTTCAATCCCTGTCGAATTTCTCTCGCTTGCTTCTGCCACAGCTTCTTGGATAGCATTGAGCCATTTGTTGAACTCTCCATTCGACTCAGCCTGTACAATCAACTTTCGACCACCAACAGTAGATACTGTCAAACCCAGTGAGACCGATGGATGTGGCTCAACGTTAATGACGCTTACGGAGCGTAGTAGAGATCCCTTCTCGCTCTTGTAGTAGCTCAGCTTCGAACCATAAAGAGTGAAATACCGCCTCTTCCAACTCTTAACTTTTCCGCCTTCCTTCTTCAACCACCCGACACATCCTTGTGACTCATTTCGAGGAATTAGATCAGTAGAATTGCGTTCCTCGACCACTTGTTGATCGTCTTGTTCGGAAGCCGACGAGCTGAGTGCATCGTACTCGGGCTTATTCTGCATGGCTGCAATCCACAACGAGGGCCCTTCACCATCACGCAGAGATCTTTCGTACTCAGCATAGTCCTCTTCTGTAAACTCCACATCCACATCATTCGCGTTCTCACCAATATCATTGTCGAATTCTTCGTCAAACACAGCTGTCCCATTACTTTGAGACAAGAACGACTCAGCCAGGTTGGACGCTCTCCTAAGCACATCGAACCACTTCGAGAACGCTTCGTGAGTTGGAGCCACAACATAAAGCATTCGACCATTTTGGAAGCGAATATTGAGGCAAAATGGGCGGAGATTCCCCACATCAACTTCGAATACCACACCAGAGCCCAAAACTTCGCTATCAGCGCTCGCACTGTAGGCAAGTCGGCTGCTTTCAAGCACGAAGTAGCGTCGTTTCCAGGTCTTGAAGTTCTGTCCTTTCTTCAATAGCCACCCTCGGAAACCATTGTCTTCGTGGAGTTCTTCTTCTTGGTTGGAATTTGACATCCTTTCCGGTGGATTCTCTGCTGCGCTCCAGGATGCTTTGCACAGAGAAGCATACCACGCCTCGGTGTCGGCTTTCGTTTCACCATACACGCTGAGAGTGCTGCCTTCTTCAAATTGAATACATAGAGATCCCGATGACTTGAGGTTGCGGGTAACACTGGTCACGTTACCAAGAGTTTCGGATGTTCCGTTGACATGTTTGTAGTGCTGGAGAGTATTTCCATGAAGCACAAAGTATCGCAACTTCCAGGAAGATGCTGCGTCGCCTTGTTCGTACAACCATCCCCGTTTAATGCGGTTTGTAGCTGCAGAGACTGTGACTTGGTTGGCAGAGGAGCGATCAGTGTTGGCTGGAGTTGACGGCTGTGTGTTACTCGAGGACCTATCGCTGTCTTGAGAATGCAACACGTTTCTTGGGAATGGTGGTAGCTGATGCTTGCTTTGTCGATCTTCGCTCGATCTGCTACTCATTGGAGATGAAGGCTCTAAATTTCCATCAACCGGTTGCAACGGCGGTTTGCCAATAGCAGCACAGAGCGCATTCATCCACTTGTCTAGCTCTCGAACGGATTCTGCCCTGACGCAGATGGTATCACCGTTAGAACGCGATTTATCTGAGCCAAATTTGATCTCCAGAGCATCGGAGTGTTCACTGCTGTATCTGACGTCCGCCACATAAAGCTCTGCCGATAGCTGTTCCATGGGTCCTTTGCGATACTCCAGCATCCCATTCGCCAGTGACATATACCGCTTCTTCCATACTTTGCTGTGTTGTCCAAGCTTCTCCAACCAACCTTCGCATACTGCAGTCGAGTATTTCCGAGCGACCAAATCTGTATCACTCACTGTCTCCAATTCTTGATTTCCAACTTCTTCTTGCACTTTCATCACTTGACGCAGTGCCAACGGTTGGCCAATAGCTGCCGCAAGAGCTCGATCCCAGCCCTCGATCTCTTCTCTCGTGTCCGCTGCCACATGAACCACTTTTCCTCCTTTTCCAATGAGTCCCAGTGACAGAGGACTAGTCTCATCAGCCTTCACTTTCATCAGTGTCAGCGAATCAATTGGCACCGCGTTCCGATGAGCGCAGAACTCGACTGTCCTACCACTGAGCATGACATAACGTCTCTTCCAAGCCTGCAATTGTGGCTCCTCTTTGAGCAACCAACCTTCTTTTTCCACGGACTTCTTGGCAATTTTCGGTTGAGTCTGTGACATCCTAAAACTCGTCCCCTGCTCCCCAACTGCTTCTTTGATCTTACGGAACAGCACGCGACTCTCTTGTGCACTGGCCGTCGTCATTTTGAGGTCTTTACCTTCTCCATGAATGAACAGTCCGTTCTTTCGGTCGGGCGAATAGTCCACATTGCGTACTTTGAGACGACCCTTCTCGCCAACCCCATCGCCGCTACCGTCGCTTTTGGCTCCAGAATAATAGACCAGCTCTCGCCCACGTAGAACGAAGTAGCGGTTCTTCCACGTGCGCACTTTGCTGCCTTGCTTGGCGCCCCAGCCGCAGTAGTCCGGAGCACTAGACATATTGCCGACTCCAAATGTGCCTGTTGCTTGGCAGATTAGACAATGAGACAAAAAGGCTCTGATTTCTAGGCTAAAGTTCGTGAGAATTTGAAACTTGTCAGAAGGGATTGAGCGGGTACAGCAGGGAACGTTTAATTTCACGTGCTAGAAACCTGTAATGTTGAATATAGCTACGCTTGGGTACTTAATCCCATCTTGAGACTTTGAATTCAGGACAACCCCAAACGCCCAAGCCGGATTTCCAGACAAGACACACGGCACCACCATGCTGTACATGTAGCTCAATCGCGAGCAGTTGTTTGCCATTGCTTTGTGAATTTCGAACTATTATCCATAAATGTTAGTATATGTGACTCACACATATACAATGCACTCACATTATGTGAGTGCAATGCCCGTTTCCTGGTGACGACTGTGTTTTGCCAACAAGGTAGGTCCATTTCCAAGCAAAAGTTCACAACGAATTGACGAAGCATCGTTACCGGTAGGTTCAGCATTGCGAATGGAATGCATCCCTCTCTGAGATCAGTCAAACGTCACGCTTAAGTAAAGGTTCGCTACACATGCACGGCAACGGAAGAGTTCACACCATTCAAGCGAGCATACTGACAAGAGCTATCTTACGGGTAGACGCCCGCTGGCTACCGAGCGAGATAACCACATGCGCGCGACGCTGACGCTACCGCAACTACCAGATTGTCTACGTTACTACTGTCTATACCAGTTTCGAATACTCTCCCTTGATTAAACCGTGTTGTAGTAGCGGTCGCCATAGTCGCCGAGACCAGGCAGAATATATTTGCTGGCATTCAATCCAATGTCCAGGCCGGCAGTCACAACCTTCACGTCTGTAGATAGAAGAACACACAGCCGCATATTAGCAACTTGCACAACAAGGTATTAACGAACAGAAATTGGATACCTGGGAACGCGCTGAACAGTGAAGCAAGACCCTCAGGGCACGAAATGACGTTCAGGAATGTAATCTTCTTCTGCTCCACACCAGCGTCAATCAAAGTCTATGACAAACAAACAGCATCCATCGTCAAAAACACCATTCGCCACCAATATACCATGCAGTATACAAACCTCACCTTGATCGCCATGTTGACGCTGCCTCCAGTGGCCAGCATGGGGTCAACCAGCAGTACGTTGTCCAGCTCCTTTATGTTGGGTGGGAGCTTGGAATAATACATGATCGGGTGCTTGTCCTCGGACTTTTCGTCACGCTGGATCAGGATCTTGCCCACGGAGACCGTAGGATCGCACTCAATAATGGATTGCAGCAAACTGTCTCCTGCTCGGATGATGGACACAGCGCAGACCTTCTCGGCTGGCACGAGGCCCGTGAAAGAGTCGCCTGTGGGGGTCACCACCGTCTCCGTCTTGTTCGCGCAAGCTGCCAATCCCTCCTCGGCCAGGATCCGCATGAGGCGGTCGGCGTAGAATTTGAACTCAGTCGGCGTCGTCTTCTCGTCGCGCAGTTTGATCTGCAGCGGAGCCAGCGCGCGATATCGTAGCACGCTCAGATTCGGGTACTTCGTCTCCATCTCCGTGATCAGCTGGGGGCTCGCCATGGCTTCGGTTCAAGTGTGGTAAAAAATCGCAATTTGGACTGGTCGTGTGATGGTCATCAACCGTCAGAAATTATGGGCATGATTGGGAGATTATTTGGGAAACGAATCTTAAGCGAAAAGTCTTGGACTTCCATAAACTGCCGCCAGTGCCGTTCAAATTGAAAGGCACTGGTGGCAAGGTAGAGGCTGATCTGGCACCACAACGAGCGCTATAAGGTAATTGTAATTGCTCCATTATTGCCTTGCGAAGACCATCGGCGACAATCATGGAGTCCTAGTTGAAGTGATGAAAATGAGATCCTCACCACCAAAACATTTCTTTGTAGTTGCCCAATTGTCAATGAGGACGGATGTCATGGATTCTCTTTGCCAGACACATTCGTTTAGCGACCGGGTGTCATACGGATACGAAATGAGCGTCAATTTTTGAGCACTTTTGAATATTTGGACACCTTATACTTACACCTCGCTTCAACCCCAGGATCTAATACTAGCGCTCTCAATATTTGCGCTCCATCCAGTAGCTTAGGGCGCCGACAAGAATGTCGTAGCTCGCGGCCAGTGCAATGTACGTCACGATGTCGCTGCCACCGCTCACATTCAAACGCTGGACGTTTTTGTAGCGCTCGCACGGGACACTGAGCGTACTGCTACAAATCGACGCACGCGACGGACCGGACACCTCGCTCATGGTCATGTAGTGGAAGTTGGGGTCCCCTGGGGGCGACTTGGGCTTCTGGATCGAAATGGACGTCGTGACTTTACCCTGCGATATCACCTCAGAGTTGAGCAGGCAACGATACCCCTGGCTCTTGGATTTCTTAACGAAACACACGTTCTCCTGTCGTAGCCCTCCCTTCTGCACGTCGGGAACCATGCGCTTCACCGCCACCATGTGATGTACGCCACCGGCGTATTTCTTCAACGACAATGTGTAGATTTCGCCGTAGTTTACATGGCGTATCGACCACTGCTTGCGGGACACACGCACGATCTCGAATAGTTTGCGGCGACCGAAGCCGTACACGTTGCACAGCTTGAGTCCATGCAATGGGCGAAACTCACGCTTGTCCAAGATATAAATGGTGTCTGTATAGTACGATAGCACACCGCGGGATCTCATGAGAGTCTCACTGGCTACAGTCGACTGGCGGTACTGGTTGTTAGCAGTTGCTGCTTGTTCGCGGAAGAAGTCGCCGTAGCGCTTTACTGACTTGTAGTAGGTGTCGCACATACACGGCGCATCGGCCCCTGGTGCCTTGCTGTGCGACTCCAGAAGCTTCTCGATTTCTCGCGACAAAGTCGACCCCTTCGTTGCACCCACGAGATCAAGATACGTGGCGTTCATGAGCACTGGGTCCACGTCCGAAATGGCCTCCAGTACGTCCTTTACTTCCATCGAGATCTGTTCTGGGGACACGTACATCCGCTTCAGTGATCCCATCAATCCGTCCTTTAGGCAGTTCACCTCGATGAACCGCAGCTGATCTGCACACTTTTTGTCTCTAGAGAGCTTTTTAAATACTTCCAACGCTCTGGACGGCGAGCATTCAAACGTTTGCTGTGCACGCCCCACTGAAATCTCATAACGGAACAGCAAGGTATCTGTAATTCCGTTGCTCGCCTCACACGAATTGATGTCTACGCGGTTGCATGGAATCTGCTCGGCTGTTCAGGGCACAATACCAGGATCAGCAAATTCCTCTTACAACAACGGTACGTCAAATCACCAACTTACCGACAAGCACTGGCTTGGGGTCATGCAGTTCACACACGTAGGTTGGTATGACATCTTCGTTTTCACTTTCTTCTTCTTCCTTGTCTTCCTCGTCCTCTTCGTCCGAATCTGGAATCACTATCGAACTAGTGGAGACGTCGTCTCCGTCTGTGCTAGTGGTGTCACCGTTGCCGATTTCCGAGCTGCGATCAGTCTCGGTTCGAGACGAGTCCCGGTCAGTGTCGTCTTCAGGCTCCGGCTCGTTCACCTTCATGATCTCCATCGAGGCTTTGCGCTTTGCGGCCGCCGCCCGTTTGCGGGCCAGCACGTCACTGGCTGGCGCTGAGTGCGCGCCTCCCCTCTGGCTGCTGGACGCCGCCGTGGGCGTCAGTGTGATGTACGAGTCCGAGAGCACATCCGCAGAAGCCATGACAGAACAATGGCAGCGGAACGGCGGGCTTGGCGGAATCGGGAATGTCTCGTTATGACACTGAGGGCCAAAAGCGACTGACGCGTGATGATGCTCTGTACGGCCAGACTCAAGACTCGTCTCTTTGGTGCTTTCTGCGATATAAATTTAAAAAGTTATCCCAAACAGTTAATGTATCGACTTAATAAAATTCGGTATCATTAGCACCAACAGGTTAAAGAGAAAGTTTACCCTTCCCCTAATTTGAAATCGGTTGCAGTCGCGTTTGAGTGAGCAGAGACAAGATAAACCTAGCGCGACCGACTGAGCGAACGCAATTTGGCCAACTTCACACTTCCATTCTGTACTGTTGAGCCAGGAGATAATCCGATGTGGCTATTCAGTAGTATGCGAAAAGTTTTGCAATGTGCCAGCAGGGCAGCGATTACTCGACGCTACTAGCGTGGAGGGTGCACGCTACGTCGCTGAACCGCAATCGGGTCATTTCATTGAATTGAATGCGTTAGCGGGCTTGTCGCTGAAGGCTAGATGGCATGTTAGCGCTCAGACAAACTGTGTTCCGTCACGGAACTTCCGTGTACACTTCATGAGCATGACATGTTCGGTCATTTGGATCCCCTCAGGCTCACGTTCTGGCGCGACCGACAAAATTCAAAGTTGTAAGATTAAGTTTTGTCTGTCGCTCCAGCGGACTTCTGTTGGTGGCATGAGCACACTTGCCGATACCTACTGAATCTGTTGAAGTCCCAAAAAGATCAAGTCGGTTTGTGGCTCTAGCCCACAAATAAGTGAAGGTTGGGAAAACGTTTCATTGAGTGCTTCTTTCACCCAAAAGATTCGATGCAATAACAACAAGGCGGGGCGTGGCAGCTAGCGCGTTGCTTTCCCGCAACAAACACAAATCACCTTGTAGTGTCTCTGATTGAGTTACGGTACATGTTAAAGAGGATCGCACCTGCTCAGGATCGTACAAGCTTGTCCTGGCAAACCCATTTATCGGCGTTCGTACTCAGTCATCTGAATCCGAAATCGGATACCTTGGTGCTGGTACCATTTGTGTCCGGTATTAATGCCCTGACGATGGCGTGAACAGCGTCGCTGAATTGAACTGCAAAAATTTAAGAGACGATCATTGTGCGATACATGTATCTGGGCGCGGGGTCGTTGGTGGAAGTCCGATAGCAGAACGAATTTCACTTGCCATTTTTTAGATATAAAGAAAATTTGTTTTGTTGCTGAGGGACAAGTGGTGGATTTCATTGTGACTCTGCCTCCCAGCTCTACATGTACGCGAACACGATTCACACTGCTATCAGTGCTTTTTTCTCTTATCGCGGGCAGCAAACAAGGGCTAGTCAAAAGCCATGGCAACTGCGACTGCTTCAGGTTTCTTGTCTTCGGTTGGACGAACTGGGACATTCTCAAAAGCGCGGGTGGCGTCCAGATGGAAGTCGCTGTTGAGTGCATCCTCCGATCGAGCCGACGGGGGGACGTAGCCGACATCCGTCGGGAATACACTCAGCGTCTCGTACTCCCCGACCAAGTGGATAGCAAAAGTTACACGCTCGTGCACGCCGTTGGTGATGATAACCTCATAGAAACCAGGGAAGCTTGCCTGGTTGCCATTGTCGTCAACCAAAGCCAGAGTGCTCTGTCGGATGCGGAAGTTTAGCTTGCGGTACTGGGTGGGGCGTAGACTCACACGACGGTAGTCGAATAATTGCTCGTTCAGCAACGCTGCATTGCCAGTCGCATTGACCTTCAGAGGTCGGAAGAACGCGAACACCACTTCGTCTCCGACAATATCGCCGTCGTTCGAGAGGATAACCGTGACAGTTTGGTCCAAATTACGCGTTACTACAATGGGTTCGCTCGGATCCGTCACACCGCTCGCGCTGTCAAGTGCCAAGGTGAATTTCGTGTAACTGAGCCCCCAACCGAACGGGAACACCGGTACCTCCTTGTAGTAGCGGTATGAACGACCAGGATACTTGGTCATACTCATGCTCTTCATGTCCACGCTCTTGATATAATTAGATGGGTACATTGTAACGGGAAGCTTGCCACTTGGGATTGCATCACCGAAGATAATGTCACTCACAGCTTGAGCACCGAAGAATCCGGGGTAGAACGCTTCCACGACACCATCCGTGTGCAAGATAAGCTCCTCAGCGCCCACCACGCCGCCGTTAAAGAGGACCACAACGGTCGGTTTGCCTGCACGGCGAACACGCTTAAGGAGTTGCATCTGGATATTAGGCATGTCGATATTCTCTCGATCCCACGCTTCACGCTCGATTGACGTATCAATCCCCAAAAACAACACGACGGAGTCTGCTTTTCTCGCTGCCGCTTCAGCCTCGTCAAAGCCTGCAGTAGACGTGTCGTTAATACCGGAGCCTTGAGCGTACACGGTGTTCGACGCTCCATTCGCGATAGTGATCGCCTCCAAAGGCGTCTGCACACATCCAACTTCTAGGTAGTCGCCGTGACACATCTGCCCTAGATAATTGCCCAGTAGAGCGCGTTTGGCCTTCGCATGTGGTCCAATCACCGCTAACTTCTTGCCCTTGGCTAATGGCAAAATATTGCCATGATTTTGCAGTAAAACTATCGACTTTCGCGTGAGATCCAGACTCAGTTGCCTCGATTCCGCCGTGTTCACCTCATTGGGAGCCACGTGCCAGTACGGTTGATCGTCGATTGGGTCAAACAAGCCCAACTCGAAGCGCAGCTTGAGCGTTCTTCGCATGGCATCGTCCACCGCCTTCACCGGCAGTTGTCCACTAGTCACAAGCTCTTCCAGACACTGCTTGTAGACACTTCCACTGTTGATATCTGTTCCTGACAAGATGGCAAGTCGCCCTGCCTCACACAATGTCTTGGTGTAATGTCTCTGATGGTAAATACCAGCAATCGCTCCCGAATCGCTGGTAATGTATCCATCGAAACCCAACACGCCACGCAGCAACTTGGAGTTAAGCTGCTCGTTCGCACACATGGGCATGCCGTTTACAGAGTTGTACGAGCACATGACTCCCTTGGCCTTACCGTGCACGACCGACGCCTTAAAAGCCGGCAGATACGTATCAGCGAAGTCATATCTCGACACAACCGCGTTAAACGCCATTCGATCAATCCCGTCATAGTGTTCGTACGAGTACGCGGCATAGTGTTTCAGTGTTACGACCGCCTGTAAGAACCTTTTGTCCTTTCCTTCCTGTAGTCCTTTAGTATACGCGACGCCGTACTTGCTGTTGACCAGTGGATCTTCAGAGGGAGTCTCCATGTTCCTTCCCCATCGGGGGTCTCGGTTAATATTAATATTGGGAGACCAACAGTCTAGTCCCAAGTGAGGACCTGTGGCATAGTTCTCTCTAGCCCCTTCAAGCCACAAAGCACGGAGCTCCCAGCCCACGACTTGGGCCATATCGAACACCGCTTGTGGGTCGAAAATGGCCCCAAGGTTCACAGGATTCGGGAACGACGTGGCGCAGTTGGTGCCGCACGTCGACTGCACGCCGTGCACACAGTTAGCGCCCCAGTTGTACTCGGGCAGACCGATGCTGCTCATGTTGCCTTTGGGGCTGGCACGGGCGGTCAACAGCGTCACCTTCTCGTCCAGCGGTAGACGACGTAAAAGGTCCTCGACGCGCTCGGAAGTCGACAGCGAAGCATTGCAAAATGCGAATTGCTGGTGCGCCGAAGAGGAGCAAGCACGCGGGATGGATGCATCCGTCGTAGGGAGACTGATGGCACAAGCCAGCGGCACTAACAGGGGGAAGAGTCGCATCGGTGACCTTGGTGTGTTGGAAGATCGGAGGCGAATCAGATTTGGTTACATCAGATTTGACAGGGGCTAAGCAAAAAAGATATTTTGACAATAAAAAACTATTCAGCATATTTTTTAAATAATGTTTGAAGACCAGGAGCAATTAATAATTACTGAGTGATAACGACTAACAAAGAGGTCAAAACGCACCGTCGCAACATCATAGCTTGATATTCTGCATAATTGATGCACATACGAAGTATTCGCTTTATAAACCTCTATGCTAACAAGCGGTCCGATTCTTGAGGAGATGCTAGCTCCTTTTCCTTCAAATGCGAGCGCTTGACTGCTTTGTCAGCCTCTTCTTGCCAATTTGGTTGCACAAACGCTGGGAAAAAGCTAACAACAGAAGTCACGGTATACCCGCATATCATGCCCTCCCAAATACCCAGCAGACTTGGGTGAGTTGTATGGACACCCAACAGGTAAGCTGAAGGTATGCCGACTAGCCAAGCACCAGCAACCATTCCTACTGCCAGTGGCATTGGCCGTGCTTGAGCTTGAAGCACAGCCTTTGCAAAAGTATTTTTTCAGTTAGCAAAGTACAAAGCCATTTTTTTTAAGACGAAAAGAAGCAGACTCACCAGGGCATAGCAGAAGAATGACAGTATAAAATAAGCCAGCGCTGCCAGAGAACACACCTGACTAAACGCTGAGATGACCACCGGGTCGTCCGAGAATATTTGGCCCAGATGCCGCCGCGAGCTAACGATAACCACGCTGTTTGTCGTAGTGAGTGTGACGATGCAGACCCCACATATCCTAGCTGCAAGACCAGCTTGCGACGGCTGGCCAGCACCAAGGTGGTTCCCGATTCGAGTGACCGAGCCACCGATGACAGCGTAAAGTGGCGAAGTAGCAAAGAAGAACAACTCCATCATAGAGTTGTGTGTCCCTAGCTGGAGCTCACCAATGTTGGCTGCAAAAAGCGTCAGCACGGTCAACTGTGAATTCTCCAGCAACTCGCCGGCTGCAAGCGGCACGCCTACCGATACCAAATTCCAGATAATCTGTTTATCGAGAAAGTGGGTATCCCAACGCCACGAGCATTGCAAATGGTATCGACGGTAGACGTTCATGTACGCGACGTAGCTCACGAGTCTCAGAGTCACCGCCACTGCAGTACCCAGTGGACAACCAATGAATCCAAGCTCGGGTAGCCAAAAGCGACCGTACGTGAACCCAATGGCGAAGAAGCCATTGAAAGCGACCATGAGCACGTCGAAGGCGGCAGTCGGGAGGACAATGTTTTGCGCCTGGTAGAAACTCGCGAGCACTTGGAACATGCTGCGTGGCCACAACCAAAGCAACGACAGCCGACCATACTGTCCTGCTAAAAAGGCCACGTGCTCTGCAACACCCGCCGTGAGGAGCAGGCTATCAAGGTTCCACCAGAGCAGAGCCATCGGCACGCAGGCTATGGTTACCAGAAGACTCGTTAACAGCGTGTATTCGCCCACCAAGTGATAGTTCTTGGCGCCGAAGGCCTGCGAGCAGAGCGAATTCATACCACCATTGAAGCCCTGCATGAAAACGAGTGTGGACAAGTCTAAACACAATTGCGCGTACGCAACTGAGGCCAGTTCGTCCACGCCCAAGTGACCCATGACACTCAGCTCAGTAATTGATACAGCAAAGTAGCAGTATGTGGAGAGTGCGCTTGGCAGAGCCAATGCCAGCAACGCGCGGGCTTCTAGGTAGAACCCCTCCATCATCACGCGCATTCTCCGTAATAAGCGACGCTTCAAGATAAAAAGATCAGGATAAAATTTATCGATTCTTTCGTCATTAGGTTTCCTAAAATTAGGTGTGCGAATTTAAACTAGATCGTCTTCGCCTTAGCAGGGAAAATACTTTTTTTTTTCACGTAGCGAAGAAATATATATCAGTGATTCAGTCGCCTGTTTAGTTGAACGTGCTTAGTAAAACATAAGCATTTGTTAGTAGACCCCTTGATTCTGCTGGCTATACCCAAGACAGGGTTTTAGAGGAGAATGCATCATCAATGGGCAATAACATATTCGGACAATATGGGTTTGTCCAATACATACATAAATTCCTATTCTGGTTGTCATTAATTTGAATTGATTTTTGAGTGTCAAAATTTGCTTCACAGGCTGCAACGACTCGCAGTGCGCTACACTCTGTAAGGTAGGACTGGGTCAAGCTGGCAGCAAAAATGCATCGATAAACGGATTCCACATAAAGGTTTCTATTGCTACCTTTTTTTTTTTTTAATATTTTTCTCTTGGGAAATTTGATAGGCCGATGCTGCAGTCCATGCGCTGAATGTATGTTTTGACCATGTCCCCACTCCAGGTAATGTCCATGTCTTGAAATAAATCACTTACCATGTAATTTAAATCCCTAGTGAGATTAAGTCATTTGCACCTACCGGTCCTTCGCCGCACCAGAGGATGCTGACAGAGATCAGCAGAGACAATGTTAGAGTTATAGTCCATGTATTACGTTCAGGTATTGTCCATGAATTGTCCAGAAGTACACTGCCACACAGAAAATGTTAGAATTGTAATCCATGTATCGAATCGAGGTATTGTCCATGAGTCTTCCGTGTATTACGATCAAAATTAGCCAGAGTTACTGCGTGCTACCTCGTAGCACGAACTGACGGATGCGCTAGCGCAACAGCATGAGCCTGTTTGGAGTCACGTCCAACTCAATCGTGTTGTCAACCATTCGCCAAAACCTGAGCGTGACGTAATAGCCACATTTGTGGCTGTAAGCTTAAAAGCTGCTACTTTATACTGTTTTATGTGGTGGTGTTCCGTAAACAAAGCGCCGAACTGTGAATTTACATGTGTTAGCTATAAAATTTCCTCGCTGGATTGACGGCAGATGTTAAACCTTCGCAGGTGCTAGCAGCTTAGACTTCGACACGCCCACAAAGAAAATACGTGGTAGCAATCCTGCGAGAGTTCGTGACTAAAGACCGCTATTTCACTGGCGAAATAAAATATTACACCAACTTTACATTAAAAAGTGTAACGCCATACCGTAAAAATTCCCACCAGTCTGACCGATGCCAACCGGCGCTTCATTTTGACAGGGGCTATTTGCACATTATTTTGACAATAATGTGCAGAGTGTGCAAGTTCATGCACAGTATCTACACAGTCTCGAGATATAAACACTGCGATGATGGGAAAGCCTTGTATGTAACAGCCATATGCAGATCAGGTTTGTGAGCAGAACAACGGCGACTTAAAGCAAAAAAGGGGGTGAAAAGAGAGTGAATGTCTTCCTTCGAAAGCACGCGTTTTTCGCTAAGTTCACGAAGGAACACAATTCGAGCCAAATCTTGGAGTCATATCAAAGAGTTATATATTATATGAACGCTTCCAGAGCTTTACCCTGACTATCCTGAGGCATCCCTAGTCGCCCCTCCAGCAGCAGCAGAATCATGAATCGCGAGCAGATTGTGGCAGAGGTGCCTGTAACGAAAGAACTGCATTGCTGGCCTAGTGTTACCTTCGACACCGTTTGGCCGTTCGTCGCCAAGACGTGCCTCCAAAAACAGAAGAATATAAACGCCGCAGTTGTACTTGTCGAGTTGGGGAATCCACTCAAACGCTTCAAACCGAAAGCGCTTAGGAGATGGTAAAGCTGGCAGCAGCGATAGGATCTCCCCCTTTAAGTACCCCTTCAATCTATCGACGCGATCAGCCGTCCCCTGAGGATCATAGATAATCACTTGACCAGTCCGGATATTAACCAAAACAGCACACCAGTGATTTTGGCCGAAAAAAATAGTAGAGAAGAAGTACAGACTCTTCGTTGGTGTGGCTGTCTCCCTCAGAGCAGCCTCCACTTTCCCCCACACATCATCGTTCTTGATCGACTCCACATCATATACCGGGAATCTTGCTACAGAGGCAGGTAGAGCAAACACTTGTGCCGTAGCTTCATTCCGAGCTGATATAGTCCTTATTGTACGATCAATACAATCACATTCCAACCACTTTCTCCCACATAGTGTTGTCAGCGCAGCGTCACCACTAAGCATACCCACGTCCTTGAGTCCTTTTTTCACCGTTTCCTTAGCAAGAAGATCTTTCGTCCAGATCGAATTATCGGGCCTCCATGCATCTAAGTCAAGAGCATCGATCCATTTAATGGCTTCATCCACATCATTCATTTTGTTCAATGCGGTGTGCCAACAGCGCATTGCTTTCAACGTCGAAACGTTATACACTGTCCGGCCCACAGAAACAGAGACACCATGCTCAGGCATTTGCCTTTCATGATCGCTAAACCAACGATTCTGAAACAGCGCGACCTGTATAATACACGTATCTAGCACTCTTAGCGGCAGCACCGTCATTATGCGCTCCTCTGCGGTTGGGGCTTGTTTCTCTTCTCCCACACGGTAACCTTGGGCTTCTTCGTCTGCAAAATAGTCAACGCACGTAGGCTAGCGGCGTATTTGTTGTATGGAGCCTTAACCGCAACCGCTTCGAGGAGTAGAGCTACTGAAGGGGTTTCACCGTTAGCGATAGCATTGACACGTTGAATAGTTCCTCGCATTGCTTCGCGGTTTTCCTT